GTTGGAAACAAATGTCTTGAAGTAATTCTTCCAGTGAGATTCCGTGGAATGAGCTTCAGTAAATTCGGTGCTAATTCAACAAAATAGTTATTTAAAGCATTTGCTGGGTCAGGTATTTCAATTTCTTCATTTGTTAATTTTTGTATACTATCGGGTTTTACGTCTTTTCCGTTTTTTAACTCGTTCAGAGCAGTCCACGTTTTTTTGCTATCTCCTCTATATTTTTCAAAAAGATGATGATAATAATTTTTTTTAAAGATTTATTTAGTTTATTACAAGTTATTTTAAGGTTTATGAATTTATTTAAATTATTATTATTAGGAATCAAAAGAAACTTTTTGTAACTTTTATTTCTTTTTGTGATGAAATTTTTTAACTCAGAAGAGACCCAAGGTTTGTTTTTTATTGTTTTTATAATAGTATTTTGATTGGTAACTTGACAGCATTCACGAAAACATTCCTGGAAAATAGTTATAAAAGTTTGGAATGCCTCTTCAATATTTGCGCTCTCATATACGACTTGCCAGTTCACCTGACTGAGACGTTGATTTAGATTGTTGATTCTGTTTGTTGAATAAGAAAATTTTACTGATGGAGCATTTCTTTTTTCAGGAAACATAAACATTTTTTTGAAAGATTGATTGATGAAAAAACTGGCTGGTGGTCGGAAAGACAGTGAGAAATAACGCCGGAAACCAAGATGTTTTCAGGAATGTTTGTGAAGATGTTGTCAATAATAGATTGTCGATTACATTCTACTCTTGTCGGAAGTGTTATTGTTTGTTGTAAACTGTAACTGTTCATAAGTTGCAAAAAATTGAACTTATTGTTGTTGTTGTTACTTTCTGACAGGTCAATGTTGAAATCACCTGCAACTATTATTAATTTGTTTTCATGATTTGCAACCAGCAAAATATCATCTAAACATTCGATGAACGAATTGACATCATAAGTTGGTGGTCGGTATGTCACAATGATTAAAACATTTTTTGTGATAGGTCTGTTTATTATTTCTAGAACGAAAAATTCGAATTCATTTT